CAAATCTTTGCCCTTTATAGTATGTAAATGTAATCGAATTTTGTACGAGTTGAGAAAATTTACCAGCAAACAAACTCCATTGATTTATTATTTAGTAAACCACAACGAGGCGTTACATTTATAAAGCGTAATGTATCATAAATATCTAATCCAACGTAATACGAACAAATCCTGTATTCATTTCAATAACACTATATTTCCTTTGTGTAAATATTGTTTTGTTTTACATGTTTGTTAGTGTTGTATTTTAAAATTACTATGAAAAGATATCAAACAGTGGCTTGAAACATTTATATACATCTAAATTAGACTATCTTTATGTGTTTCTGTTAAAAATGTGGTCGTCAATGACCTATGAATATATAAAAAGCTAGCTTTCGCCCGCGACTCCGTCCGCGTGGAATTAAAAAACCAAAAGTGATTAGTCTATGTGTTCTTCCAGGATGTCCTCTACGTCTATGTCAAATTTCATTGAGATCTGTTCAGCCGTTTAGGCTGCAAACTCTAACAAACATCCATCCATCTAAACATTCGCATTTATAATATTAGTAAGATTAGTAAGTAAATTTTAGTAAACAATAATTAAGTACTCTTAATCTTTAATTCAATGTTCACTTTGAGGTATAATTTAATAATCAAATCGTTTCGAAAAAAGAGTACAGTTTGAATAAAAAATCTAGTTCGTTCCATTCCAAGTCAAATAGACTCTATGTAGAATATTTACAGAGCTCACCGCAGACAAATAAACCTTGCGAATATATTTGAAAGAATATAAAATGCTAATAAATAAGCTTCAAGCTGAATAAATAAAAGGATCCAAAGCAGTGATTCCCAAAGTGGTCAAAGCCGATCCTATGACAACGGAAAACGAGATGTACAGTCAGCTGCAAAAACTATGTGTGCATTTACAGAGCTTTAGAGATTTGTATACGCCTAGAATTTCAAAAACATACAAGCCTATATTCATCCAAGAACTAATTTGTCATTTTAACTAATACATTTATGTTTTTTAATTAAATTGAGACAAAGACCAGTTTCTAAAGTTTTCTAAATGCATCTATGTTTTTTTTTATATAATATAAGGTGAAAAATGAGCAAGCAGCCACCTGAATCCACCGAAATGGAAAGCAACCGCTGCCCATAAACATCCGCAATAGCAGATGCGTTGCCTACCATTAATTGACGGCGGAGGAGACCCACAAAAAGACATTTCCCCTTCCTATGCGTCTCCTCCACCGACAAATCCACTTTTCCTCTCCTTTCCTCTTAAAAAAAGGGTGGAAAGGGAAAGGGACTAAAATCCGGTACCACACTCATCAAACGAAACGCAAAATTGCTTCCACTTCACGCCTGTTTTCTGTGTGGTCGTGGTATTACACCGGGCGAGCCGGCCCATTCGTGCAAAGATGTAAAGCGGGCTCTACCACTTTAGAAGCTGATTGTACAATGACGAGAAATTAACTTGTAGGGCCACAATTAGAAGAAATGCTCTATTTATTCCGCAGGTACGAGACCAGTAATATAATTCTCAATTGGATCTATGCAAGTTTGAGAATCTTTGATATAAAAGGTTTAAGTTGTGTAGAATACATTACCGTAGTGTTCACCTAGGCCACCTATTCTAATTCCCCGGCCATTGATGGAACCTCATGAATATATTCAGAGAGGACGCCTCGCCTCCTTTATACCGGATACTTAGCAAATAGTTCAACTATAAGCCTCCTATAAAATACACACTTAGCTAATATTAAATGTTGTGTAAGAAATTATTGAAATAAAACATCTTAGGGAGAAAATGAATGAAACATTTTTTTAACAGATTATTGTTTTCTTTTTCTACATTACAGTCTAAAAAGAGAAGGCATAACATTATATCTTTTAAATTCAAAAGGGAAAATCACGCAAATGGATCACAATTTTACAAACGTATTAACAACTAAACTTAATTAATAAATAAATAATATTAATAAAAATATATTACTATTATAAAATAAAGATATGAGAAACAAAATAATAATAATAACCGATACCGAAACGGACACCGCATGAATATTGAGGAGGTTCCTGTCTTTGCAGCCCTGACCACTGGTTGCTTGAGTCATCGGATTCCGCAGCCGGTGGACTTCTATTTTTTTTATATAATATGTTTTATTTTTTAAATAAAGATCATGTAATATGTTTTATATATTAAAATAAGACATTAAACATATGAGAATAATGATAATAATTAAGTTTTTGAACAAATTACGTGTAACTTGATTTGCTCCAATTTACTAAAACTTTATAATACAGACGGCCGTTTCTATAGCTTTGTATTGACAAATTGAGTTGGCAAGTTGAAAATTTAATTTATATTTCCAAACTGAAGATAAGAAAGAGAAGTTTAAATTTAAATTTGATTTTATTAAAGCAAGTTTTCACTGTGAAATACTTGATTCTAAGTAGTCTCTGAACTTTGAGAATTCGATCACGAAATGAAAATTCGGCTTTTTCCTCACGTGAGCGAACAAAGGGGAACAGCATGTTAAAATTTCTTGTTATCAATGTCGTGTTCTTATATGGTCACTCTAATGTATGTGATTCTATACTAAAGGAAGACCATATGAAGCTTACCGTAGTGATAGCTTGGTTGCAAATATTTATGGTTTTAGATAAATCCTGAGAAGGAAGTACTAAATAACTTGTGAAATTGATACGTTTGATCTAAGCTTACTTCTGCGGGGAGTGTTAGTGTTTTTGTTTGTTTGTCTATATCTATAATAATATTATAAAGAGGAAAGATTTGTTTTTTGTATGTATTGAAATAACTCAAGAACTACTGACCCGATTTTAAAAATTCATTCACCGTTAGAAAGGTAATTTGTCTGTGAGTGACATAGGCTATGCTTTTTTATTATTTTTCAATTTCACGCGGGCGAAGTCGCTAGCAACAGCTAGTTATTAATAAAGTCGACTACTTCTTGAATGATTAAATACATCTCACTAATATTATAAATGCAAAAGATTATATGAATAGATATCTGTTAGATTTAGTAACCTAAACGGCAGATCGGAAGTGGATCAATTTTTTCATAGACGTAGAGGATAATCTGGAAAAAGCATGTACTTTTGCTTTTTTTTAATTCCACGCGGACGGAGTCGCGGTCGATAGTTAATCTAGCTCCTCCGTCTGCAATTGCGGATGTCTATGGGCAGCGGTTTGCCACCTTATGATATAAAAAAGCTTAATTTAATATCAAAAACAGAAAGCATAACGTAACAATAACCGGCTATTGAATAACGTCTACCGCGAATTTCTACGCTGCAACCATTATCTAGCAAGCTTGCCTAATGCCGTGCAACAACTGACAGCTGAATTGTGCCACAATGACGCGTCCTCCGCTGGTGATAAAACTGTTACCTTATGCAGGACAATTTCGACCTAAAGTAACACAAGAAATGTAATTTTTCAAGATAATAGTATAATGACATAAAACTGTTCTTATGTTAAGACTATCTAGAGGAAATATTTGTATTTTTGTATGTATTGAAATAACTCAAAAACTGCTGGGCTGGTTTTAAAAATTGTTTCACTATAAAAAGATACGTTATCAGTGAATAAAATAGGATACTTTTTTTTTTAATATAACGCGGGCGAAGTAGCGAACAACAGGTAGTTCCAAAATATACATATTTTAAAGAAATACAATTCTTGTTATTCCAAAAGTACGAAGTCATTTAGCAAAAATCGAGTTCTACTCTATACGTAGGAGCCGTTTATTTGATAACGTTGAAATTGTTTCCACACGGAGCAATTTGTATCTCAGTCGGCTATTTCACTTTTGCAGCAACTGACGATCAATTTTCATTGTTTATGTTGTCATTGTTTTTGTGAATACAATAAACGGTTTGACCGGGTTAAGTAACAGAGGGTCTATTACGAATATTTTCGTGTCAGTTGCGAGAATGTATTCGTAAGTCATTAAAATTTGAATGATATTTGTTGGTGTACTTTACGCCCGGCAGGTACGCTGCACAAATTGCGTTACGTTACGTACACGTTCTCATGAATATTCGTGATAAACTCTTTGATTATTTTTTTAACTGTTCTGAAAATAAGAATCATTCAATGTAAGTTATCAATCAGAAAATAGAATTTCATCCTCATTTATTAGGTCATATGTAAAAGCCCCTTTTTTCATACATTAACTACTATAAAAGAGCCGTGGTAATCAAACGATTTACATATTTTTGTATCCTAAAATTATCAAATTCATGAATAAATATTCATTTAAATTATCATAGTTATCTTACAAATTTTCGTAAGCATGAATTTTACATTCTAAATAATATAAAATGAATATAATTTAGACAACAAACTCAGCGCGGGCACTGCTTCGCTGCTAGATAATTACACAAACGCCTTTTGACGATTCGTTTTGTCAATGGTAAAAAGCATATTGAATAAAATTGCTATATTTTTTTCACAGGCGTTATACATTTTATGTCTCTGTACTCAAACTTTTACTATTTGGATTTATAAAACATGTTGCAAATTACAATTATACGCTTTGTCTCAAAAGTTTGCCTTTTGTAGTGGCGCATACCAAACAGGTATGTTAAAAATACGCTCTGTTATTCGTGTCGTATTTAACTGTGTTTAGGAATCTACAAACAGCTAAGTTCTATAATACTTAATGAGTCTTCGCGGTTATCAATTGAAATTAGGTGACTTATAAATGGTCAATTCAAACCAAACAATTAACCTTACAGTGAGCCCTCGACATATATTTTCGAGTAAGAAAACGTGAAATCGTTGACTATGACACAAGGCCAGAATATGGAAAAGAATAAAAAACTACAAACATGATCAATTGATACATAGTTTTTGTTGAGAAAATTATATTAATTTTACGAGCAAGAGTTAAAATCTATTTTAGCTTAAACTTAGTTATGATGTTCCAGAAAATTCTATAATAAAAATTATTACAAATAAAACGTGTCACCTATACCAGCTTTCGCAACCAATGCCCCACTGCCGCCGCCAATGAACTGGAAAGCAAGGTCTCTGACCGAATCATTGTGATTTAGGAGTTACGTTTTCATTTCAATTATAAAAGACAATACCACAGGAAGTGTACAACTTCCACGCTTCGAACCCTAAAAGTCGAGAAAACTATCACAGTTTTAATCCGCGTAAAATACCAACTTCGTTCCACGGTTGTTGGGCCCAGTATAAATGATCAACGCAATTCTGAAATGTCATCAGTCGAACTGTGACGGTAAACCATTAGCACGATGTTAGTAACAGTGTTTATACTTGCGTTTAGTGCATTGGCGTGTGGACAGGATATGAAAAAAGTTGAGCTAGCCGAAGAAAAGACGCCGTACGATTATGTGAATGAACGTTTAGACGCTATTGGAATGGATGCACGTTCTGGATTGCCATTATCAAATTCGTACGAAGTGGAAGAAAGTGAAGACTACCCCGAGGCTATCAAAGGTGCAGCGTCTAACGTTTTGAATACAGTTACTGGTGTTGGTGGTATTGGATTGGGCCAAGGACTAGGTTTTGGTGGTCTAGGACTAGGAACAGGGATAGGTCAAGGAATAGGTATCGGTTTAGGTGGTGTTGGAGGTTTAGGCGTCGGTGGTTTCGGGGTTGGAGGAATTGGACTTAATAACGGAGGAATCGGAGTCATTGGAGGACAAGGCATTGGTGCAGGCGGCGTAGGCCTGCCTAACGGGATCGGTTATATTAACCCCGGACTTGCCGGTCTTGGAGGATTTGGAGGTATTGGGGTTGGGAATGGTTACCTATACCATCCTATCTTGGGAGCTGCCGGAGGTGGTTATTTAGATAAGAAAGCTTACGACGCTGCGCAGAAAAAGGACGCCGATGAAAACATTGAAAAGGTAGAAAAGAAGGTAGAGGAAGAAGCGAAACACGGCCAGGAAGGATTCCAGCAGGCAGCAGAAGCGGCAAAATCCGAAAAAGGAGAATCTGGTTTCTACAAAGGAGAAGAGGCGAAAAAGAAAGCGGCCGGAGATGAGAAGTTTTACGAAGGTGGACAGAAAATCGATAAACAAGGTAAGAACTTTTATTTGTTAAGGAAACTTTCCCTTGATTTCACCAATCACAAAAGTGGAAATCACATATATCATATTGATCTTTTTTTCAACGTTACAACCAGGTGCTAACGAAGAACATGTCAAGAAAGCAAAGAGTCATAAGAAAGGTCACGTGAGCAAAGGATTCAAGACCTCCAGTAGTAAGAATGAGGAAGAAAAATCTGAAAGCTTCTACGACGAGGCTCATGATGAAGCCGATCATAAAGTCTCCGGACAGAACGCAGGTTCATTCGGAGAGCAGTCGCAGCATGGATTCAAAGGTGCACATGAAGAGAAGGTACTCGATGCTAACTCGCAAGGCAAAGAAGGTCACCACTTATCTGAACATAAACTTGACGATACTAAAGCTAATAAGGTAAGATTCAAAGATAACCAAATAAATAAATCTTGTAGCTAATTTATATTATATAAATCTTATTAATTATTATAAATGTGAAAGTTTAGAAGGATGGATGTTTGTCAGAGTTTGTTGCCTAAACGTCATAACGTATCCCGATGAAATTTGTTTCATTTCACTGTTTTTTTTTTTAATTCCACGCGGACGGAGTCGCCAGCGAATGCTAGTACTTCATATTTGTACCGCGGTTTTATGAATTAATGTAGTCTCATAAAAGACACAGGATTAATTCGTGTCTGTTTTTCTAGGGCGAGTTTCTTCAGAAAGGGTACAAAGGTGGTGCGGAACAATTGGAGAAGTTTAACAACTTGGGTGCCCACTCTATACACGGTCATCAGGAGGCATCCGGGGGATACCAACAGAACAAAGCTATACTGCCAATCCATTGACGAAATACCATCCATACGAAAACCTGCGATTGTTTTGTTACAACTGAGTGAATAAAAGAATGATCTTCAGTTTGTTTGTTTTTTCTAACTAATATGATTACTAAAAATACCACATTTTGGCATTTAAAACTGTTGGTTTTACACTTTATTTAAAAGAACAGATAAAACAATGGACAACAGTGAGGCGGCAAAAAGTGTTTAAACACTATGCATTCCATGAAAATAAGGACCCCATAAGGCGATTCGTTATAACTTTTTAAAGAATACTTATTGTTCTACAGATGAGTTATGTTTTCTGATAAAAACTCGTCTTGCTAATTTATGTTTGTTCCTGGTACGTACATCTTTTCTTACATTATTGACCTAAAGTTCGGTTCCTGTTTATTTTTAATAAAAATATCATGGGACTATAAAAAAGTCTCCTTAAAGAGACCGCGAGAAACATTTTTTTTGATTAGTTTAGTTTGTAAAATTTCTTCGCTAAAAACTATTAAAAAACACAAAGAAGCAAATCAATTTATTAAACCTTTCGGTAGAAAACATGCATTAATAGTTTAATAAAAACGAAATTATTATCCTTAAAACTAAAACTAAAATCAATTATTTGCTTAATAGTTAAGAAACACACTAAATATACTTCTTCCAATGAAGTCCTTGCAGAATACAGCATTTCTTAGGCAGGCTGTCTGTAAAACTACCATTAGAGTTGTACCCCGAATCGTAATTTTGATTCCTAGAATATACCACAAAAAACAATTAATAAGAAATCCTACCATAAAATTACCGACAAGCATCAAATCTTCGGGATAAAATCATCAAAACGGGTTCTTATTTCATATGATACACGAAATAGTCCTTTAAGAAATTAAAAATAACGTCTACTACAAGTATCTGAACTCTGTTCACATTGGAACTCAGATCTTCAGTTTAGATCATAAGTCAATCAACTCAATGCAATAACCTCTATATTAAAGACATATATGTCTCTATTTTTTCAAAATAAATGAAAGGGATAACAACACATTTTTGGTCAGTGGCATATATGCTATTCGCAATGCAACGCAAGCTTCTTGATGTTGTTTAATACCGTTAGAGATGCTTTAAAAAATTGATGTACCCGACGGACTCCTGCGTGGGCGGAGTGAACACCGTCGATGATATCCTGTTAGAAGTGCTTGATCTCTGGAAGAGAAAGCTAAAGTGAACACTGGCTTATCATCAGACAGTGATATTCACTTATCTACAATTCCATCTCAATTTCAATCTAACATTATAAATACGAAAGTTTAGATAGATGTTAAAATTTGCCGCGTAAACTACTGAAGGAATTTCGATGAAATTTGGCATAGATGTAGAGGATAGTCTGGAAAACAAATAGGATTATACTGTTTTTTTTTATTTCGAGAAGACGTAGTTGCGGACTACAGCTAGTAAATAATTAAACTAATCGGAAGCATTTTATAGTAAACTTTAGTTTGAAAACCCCTTGCGATATACTCGTAACTCTTTAGATTGTAGGACTTTAGACATTTAATGAAATTTTGTAAATGTAAAAAAACAATACAGGAAAATCTCTAAGCTTAATAATTGAATAAAAATAACAAACTCATACCGAGTTCGGTTGAATCTGTTTGCAAAAACTCTTCAAACATTTTGACATCGGGAAAGCGAACCCATGCTATGAAATTCTAATGAGATATTTTTTGTACTTCTGTCCTTTATTTAATTCATGTTTCACATTCATTTGAAGAAAAACAATGTTCAAAAAAACGTTAGATGTAAATATAGGCGCATTTAACAAAGTTTGTTTTTTTTATTTCAGAATAGCTTTCGACGGCGACTCAGTTCGCGTGAAATTAAAAAAAAAAATTAAGTAGTTCTGTGTGCTCTTCCAGACTGACCTCTATGCCAAATTTTCTCTAGATCCGTTCATCCGTTTATGGTACAAACTCTAACAAACATCCATCCATCTAAATTTTCGCATTTATAATATTAGTTAGAAGTTAGATTTAAAGGAAAATGTAGTACAATTTCTGGTTAAATATCACCTTTCGTCTAGTTATTCCTATTCTAATAGTTATTCCTATGCTTACGTTACTTTTCTATCTCATTGCCATTAAAAATAATTAACCATTACGATCGTAATTTAAATTGATTTCTCTCTTATCTGACCAGTCTATTTTATAACATTTGAACTAAACCACCTTTAAGTCTCACACCGATATTTATATGACGTAAAAGAGATAACTTAAAAATAATTTAAATTAAGAATGGAGTAGGAATCTTTACTGGAGACAGATATACATTTTAAAACAGTTTAACTACTCAAATTAAATTTAAATACTTTTTTATCGTAGGTAATAACAGTTAAGTGGCAAATACCGAAGAAATCTATCTCCCATCATGTATATTGTATGGAGTTTTTTAAATTTGATATTTATTTAATGAAACTTTGAAATATATATGTGATACATTTATATAATTTTCATGAAATAAAACTGTTTATATTTGTATAAAATACTAGCTGTTCCCATGCGGCTTCATCCGCATGAAATTATGAAAAAATCATTTTATTGTTTACATTTGTCAAATTATCAATTGCAAATGTCAAAATGACATGACAAACAATTGCAATCGTACTTCCTTGATGTTGGCAGCTTGTAGCTTATGGTCCCTTTCCCACATTGGCGTTTATATCCAATTTATTTACCCCCCTAAGTTCAATAGTGTGAAAATATATAGCCTAAGCCTGTCGTAAGTGAAGGGCTTCGTATTAAAGATAGTGTAATTCAAAAATATGCTGCGATTGCTGACATCTTACGCCACAAAGTTGTGTGTGTTTACGCTTATTATATTAGTATAGAAGTATATATCGATTATGTTTACCTGACTTTGAGCACCGCTACTGATAGATCGATTCCTGCTTATCCTCGCTGGGGTCACGAGGTTCGACTGATAAGTTTGCTGTCGGAACATCACTCGCTGTTACTATACGTACATTTATTTGTAACTGGGGATTACCCGGCGATAAATTTAACCCATTAAAGGTTTTTTTTTCAACATTGTTTATTAGTGAATTAGGCAACAATGTCAAATTATAAAAACATTCAATATTATCTTTTGTTCGTTTGATTGCTATATATCTTCTTATTGTGAGTTCACGACGCTTAAAAATATTTTAACACGAATGAGGGTTTTTACAAATTTTAAACATTTCATACTTCTTCTCGATGACTAGTAAAATTTTAATCAATAAATCAAAGCTGATGTTAATGATAAATGATAACTTAACATTATCAAACACATTGGTAATCTTATTGACTTGATCTATAACTTATTTTTGTGGATACAAAATAATTACTTCAATCACATTTTAGACAGTAAACTTAAAAACAGCTAAACCTCGTCTTTTACATAATAAAAAGAAATTAAACCGTTACAATTTCCAAGCTATCTTACTTTATAATCTGGAATCTGCGAGTTTGGCAAAGAACATCCGAGCGAGCGCCTCGAGCTATATTTAAGGCAATATTTAAAGCGTATAATCTGCTTACTGCAGGAATTCTGTTTAAGTCGTACAGCTGCAGCGACACAGCTCAACTTAATCCACGTCACTTTAACTTACCGCGACAAGAGCACGGCCAATAAACAGACGGAATAAAACGATACTCAATTTAAACACAATACTACAACTTAACTTACTCAAACTTTATTTATAACTAGCTGTTCCCGTGCGACTTCATCAGCATGAAATTATGAATATTTTATTTTATTGTTTACATTTGTCAAATTGTCAATAGCAAATGTCAAAATGACATGACATGACACACCTTAGCAATCTTTCTGATGGTCTCATTCCCACATTAGGATTTTTATCCAAAAAATTTACCCCCTAAGTTTATTGGTGTGAAAATATATAGCCTCAATCATAACTTAAGTGTAGGGCTTTTTATTAAAAGAAGAATTGTACAAAAATATGCTGTAATTGCAGAGTTCTTAAGCAACAAAGAAGTGTGTGTTTACGCTTTATTATAATAGTATAGATAGTATAGGTGACTAAGTAAATTGTTCCTACGGAGGGTTTGCAGAGTATGAACTGCTCTTCCATACATCTCTATCAGCTATCATATCTGTGTACTCATATAATATATTTACAGTTTCATCAGTCTTTTTCTACCTTTATAGCCTCAAGTTATTACAGTAAAGTTTAGTTAAAATATTCAATTTTCACGTTCGTGGGACAAAGATAAGGAAAAAAGTATAAGATAACTTCAGCTATACCTTAAATCATAATTAATATAATCAACATTAAAAATAAAACGCTTTAAAAGCAATTGATTTTGAGATCGAAAAAAATGAAAATTACATTATATCCAGTGACCACAGCGTATAAAACATTTCGGTTGAAAAGGGTCGCATGTTTTATCGATCTGGGATGATTCGCAGCGGAAAATACGTATCTTATGGAATGTGAAAAAACGAGGTCACATTTTTTCCCCTTCACTTAACGCTTTGTCCTATTGTAGGGTAATACTATTTGTATCGTTAACTTAAGTTAGAAGAAATATAAAAGAAAAGCGGTTTAATCATTCTGAGTAAATACAGGCTGTTGTCGGGAACAAAATCGACAAGACGAGGGTAGATAATGTCAGTTTTTGTGTACGATGTGCAAAAATTTTGCGGAGGAGGCGTTAAAAAAACCCTGAACAGTATTATGGTAATTCAGAAATTGTACATGAGATGAATTACGTCCATTATCCATGATTTGGTGCTTGAAATTTACAAATCCCTGTCAAACACAAAGGCATACAGTCGGAATCAAGCGGTGTTCGGATTATACCCAACCGTCACCACGCTCTGTCCCCACGTGGGGACAGATGAGAACAATAAATTTTATCCGTCACACCTTTTGCGACGAGGGGACGGTTGGAACTTATTTTACTTCATAACGGTTCCATCTGTCCCCTAATTGGTGATAGTGGGTCTAAGGTGGGACGGATGAAACGTTTTATTCTCACGTGGGGACAGAGCGGGGTGATGTTTGGGAATAATCCCGGTGTTCCACCTTAAAAGTTACAAGCGTTTGAACATTTTGAAACAAGACGCGGAACAAAAATCAATATAAAGCACCTTATAAATGTCTGTACGAAAAAAATCGGTTAGTAATGGATAGTTTCCTTTTATTATTATCCCTTCATTTACCCCACTTACTGCTTATCTAATAAGTTATTTGTACGGAGTTCGTCTCGTTGCAATGATCAAGGCAATTTTTCCTGAAGTGGAAAACCGGCATTTGGCACACCGGGGCAAAGAGTATTCTACCGCCAGAGGTGACTACTTAAAAAATAATTATAGATTATACACTCACACTATAAGGGGTGCTTTTCGCGGTGCGTTTGTATGAAGGAGTAGACTGCAGGAAGCCGGGAGATAGATTGTTGCTCGGAGATATTGGAACATTAAACGGCGATAGTTGCTCTGAAAAACAATTTTAGTAGACAGTCGTTAAGAAGCCACTAAGGAAGCCCCTTAATGTAGATAGACAAATCAACAAGACTATTTATGCACTGCGTATATGGTATTTAATAGACTTGGAATTAACGTATTCTAAACATAATGCGATATTAAAACTACTTTTTTTATTTTTACTAATGTAATGTATGTAATATCTTGTACTTTGTGTATGTTAGTCGTAACATTGGGTATAAAGGTAGAATGTAAATATTTCCTAATTGTTGAGTGCAATTTTTTGGACATAACTTCAGTCTCTTTTTAATTATCGCAGGCAACGTTGGGCGGGCGAATTCATTCCAGTCTGCCCTACTTTCAGAGGTCACAAGCCCCAGCCGGATTATTCTAACGGCAAACAGATCAATCCTTATATTACCGTTTAACTTTCAGACTGCAATGAAAGTCACTCTAGAATTAAATCTAATAACAATTTGAAACAATAACAATTACAAAGATTGATAAATCGAATTATTTTTTATCAGAAGTCGTAGCTGAGATAATCAAATATTTTCAAGTAAGTTTCAGAACGGACTTTAGAAACAAACAATTTCGATCATCAATTCATAATGGTCGGTTTCGCGACGTAATCAACAATCGAATATGCGTTTTCAAATAAAGCTTAACATTTTCGATGCTACAGTCATATGCTGCTAGTTCCCTTTGAAACGTAAAAATGGCAATGGCAATAAATGTGTTAAACTAGACAATTATTTGTTTTTTTTTTCATATCGTCCAGTCTTTATCCTGTATAATCTTTGTTAAAAAGCATAGACTTTCAAATTATTTATTTTAATTATACTTACTTGTCTGATTAGCGAGCTTGGATTCCAAATGCTTTATAATTTTCTGGTACTCTTTCATTTGTTTGTGTTGCTTCTGACATAACTCCTGCATGCGTTTGAGTTCCGTTCGCGCCGTATAAAACTTTTTATTCTGTTGAAATGAAGAAAAAGTTGAAATACTACATCTTAATTAAATTTGTAATATATATTTCTATAATAATTACTACTACTAAAATATCGCTTTAATCGATAAAACTTTAAAACTATCATATGGGAGTTAAACTCATGAAAAATCTTATTTTCTTTATAACACAGACTTTCGGTTATATAACTCTAACCGCACCCGATTTTCGGATGGAAAAATTCGACGCTACCTATATGCACTCCTTAGTTATCCCAGCAAAGTACGCAGTAAAATATAAATTAAAACAGTATAATTACATTGCTACATTTTAATCGAACTAGCAAAAGCCTCTGAAAGGGGACGTGTTAATTACGCATTAATTAACTCCGCGCTATGTAATCAAATGAAGTTCTAATTAAAGCCTTAGTGGCAGATGAATATCGTTTGTATACAATTGCTTATTGTTTGATATATGTGTTGCTCTGTTTAGCATAACATAAATAGAGCAATACGCTGCCAGCTGTTTGAACTGAATCTGATATTAAATCAAGAAATCTTTTAGTTCAAACTCGAAAACAATTAACACAAACTTTTCTATTATCAATTGACCAATGAATAAATGAATAGTATTTTACGAAATGTCAAACTATGTATATCAAAATGAAATCTGTACTAAGAGGAAAGATTTGTTTTTTTTTGTATGTAATTGATTCACGTAAAAACTACTGGGCCCATTTAAAAAATTCTTCCACAACTAGAAAGCTACTTTATCGGTGAGTAAAATATGCGACATTTTATAATATCACGTCGACGAAGTCGCCAGCAACAGCTAATAATTGATATTCCTAACGTTAAATTGTTTAAACTTTCGTGAGACATTATCTATTAGATGGTGGAATCGGACGATAATACGTGATTCAAGACATATTTCTTAGTTTTGTTGCTAAAATTAGTAGAAAAAACTTACCGATTGTAATAAGAATGATAATAACCTTCTTCTGTGTTGTTTTTGAAATCGCAAAACTTCCCATGACTTTTTTATAATTTCTTCTGGATCGGTAAAGTAATCTTGCACTTCTGTATTCATCTAAAATAACCTTAGTTAGCAAATATGTTTCGATCACAAGCATTTTTTTTTTCAAACACATTGAATTTATTACTTACATCGGGTTCTAATTTCATCGTAGTACATGGAACTCGGCAAATAAAACAAGTATTTTGTGTTGCATCTAAAAGTAATACAAAAACATAAAAACTAAAATTATAACCTAAAAGTATATTGCTGAATTTTTTACCAACCCTTTTCCAGGCATATGTTGCAAAACATATGACCGCATGATGTGAGATGCAAAGTAATTCTTTGTTCTAACTGCATAAAACATTTATTACAATGAATCCAATCCATTTTAATGAAATTTCACAATTAGACCACCATCACTGTTTACTAAAATATTTTGACAAATCACCAACCGCCATCTTTAAGTTCTTTAGAACAATCACTTACGAGCTTCTTACATAACTCTTGTTACATTCATAAACAAAGAAAAATAAAGAAAATTAAATGCCAAATATTTTAGAAGTAGAAAAAGAATTTATAAATTTATTACAACATTCAATATTAATTTACTTTATTTTGAATAAAATCTTTATTTTTAAAATTAAACGCTGTTATAAAACACCTTTTAATTTTTTATTCTTTTTTTTGTAAACGGCCAGGTTTATTCTCTCACTTACTAAATAGGTTTTATCTGTGATTCGAAGAAAATGAAATTGACAATAATAAACGTTTTAATAAATAAAAAACTATTATTTTGTTTCTGTTTTTTTTTTTTTTATTGTTATGAAGTTTAACAAAAACATTAATTTAAAGCTTAATATGTAATACCGAACATATGATAGTCCTTTAAAAATACATGTAACTTGTATAACTTGTATCATGATACTCTTGCGGTTTTTATGTTAAATTAATATTTTTTTCTTCAACACAAATAGAAATAGCTAAATGAAACATACTATAGTATTTATCATCAGTAATAATGTTAAAGAAAAAAAATCGCGTAAATCTAGCTAATGTCATAACCTAAAAAAAACATTTGTCATACCATCCAATTATTTCAACAAAACCGAAATACCTATCTACCACTGTTTTTGTAAACGTGTTTCTATAGTCGAAGCCTGTAAAATTATAAGAACAAAAGTCACCGCATTACTGGCAGCTAGCCAACTTGTCGACATTAGCCACTTTATAAAAGTTTACAAACAAATTATTCTATTGATCCCAATAGTGCTTCCTACTATTAACTTCTATTAAACGAATTGACGACGATAAGGAAAATTTAAACAAAAAAAAAAAGATGATGATGTAATCTGTATTTAATGTTTAATTTGTCAAAACCTACATTTCAACAACAGGCATAAGTAAAATGTGTTTCAAAGAAATTGCGTGAAAGTGCAAGTTAGGAATATTGGATTCTGTGTTAACTAATACACTATTTTTTTTTTTTTCAGAAAAAATAGGTGAAATGTTTTAGTACTGTTTGTCGTGCAGAAATACAAGTTAAAAAGATGCATCTTTGCAATGAAAATCAGGTACGAAAGTAAATCATTTTCTTGATCTGCTTTAGAAACATTCTTTGCCTTTGCCTATCTGCTAAATCCATAATCTAATCAACATATGAACGATATACCTCGTTAAGAAAGAAATATTAATTACGTCCCACGGACCTATAACCATCTTCCTGTTTTTACTGGCCTGCCTAGGAATCTATTGACAAAAGATAAGATCCCTATATAAAAGAGTTGTTGCCGTATAACTGGCCAGTTGTGTTTTATTTCGGCCGCGGCTGGTCACGATGGCCGTGACTTTGAAATATATCCTAGTGTGCGTAGTTATAATCTGTGCAAATGTCAAAGCAGATAAATCCACATGTATGTTTTTTTTTTATTTAAAAAGAAATAAAAATGACTTTTTATTTATTTGTACTTTTACTTTATTAAAAATTTTTTTTGAGTACATTTTTATATCGTTTTATAGTCTGTAAATATGTTTAAATCTAACCGAAATACTAGATTCGGAAAAATAATAAAAAAATATCTGGAAAGGTTTTCGTTATTTCAAATCCAATTCGGGGTTTAAGAACCCAAAACTTACGTATAGTCCTATAAGTAAAAATTATTTTAAGTTGTAAAATACTTGTTACCTTATATTTGATTTTAACTCAAAAAAATATGATTTTTAACTGTAATGCCTTTTGATGTTAAGGAAGAATAACCTCTCCATTCTTCCAAAATGTCATAATATTTTTGCCATTGCAAACTCAAAAGTAGAAACGTCTTTAGTATATTATTTTTTGTAGCATAAGCGATGCAATTTCGTAAGCCGGACAGGTTCGCAATGTTTATTTACGTATACATTTGGAATCAACATTACCTTGAACAAGCTGGTTTCTTTGGCAACTCATGTAAATTCTGTCTCGTTTTAATGAACATAAAGGTAGAGTTCCACGTTGTTCATCTCTATCATTCCGTTTGACAAAGCAGAGACACCAATATGCATTAATAATTCACGGCAGTGAAGTCCTACTATAATACAAATATCTGATAAACATTACATTTGCAATAACAATAGTAATCACAATTAAAAATAAATCGTCTATCAACTTTTTGAACTTTAGCCTAAGATAAGATTTTTTTGTTTATTAAAATTTGTCGATTTTATCTTTTTAAGTATTTGTATGGCAAATAAAGCTACGTTTTCTCTGATAATCGCATTAGCATCTGTAGCAAATGTTTGTGCGATTGCATGTTTTCGAATTAACTTTAGTTACTCGAGAATTTGTGTAGAATAATCAACACTTAGTGACTCTCTTGTGGCTGTACTCTGAGTGCGTCAGTTAGTGGTATATGTACGTGTACTTCAATTTTCAGACAAAATATGCGTACCGAAGCAATACCTAAAGGCCTGCGAGGAGATGTTAGAGGTGCCGACAAAAAGCAAAGTCTCTTTAGAATGTGTCCCCGCAAGAGATAGGTAAGTGATATGAATATTTTACTCTTGTCCTTTGTAATTTTACAAGCTGTTGCCCTCGATTTCTATGCCAAATTTTTATGAGATCCGTTCAGCAGTTTAGACCACAAACTCTAATAAACATCGCATCTAGACTTTCGCATTAATAATATTTGAAGACTAGCTGTTCCCATACGGCTTCATCCGCATGGAATTATGAAAATTTTATTTTATTGTTTACATTTGTAAAATTATCAATAGCAACTGTCAAAATGACATGACATTATGACAACCTTGGCAATCTTGCTTCCTTGATGTTGGCAGAAACTTATGGTCTCTTTCCCACATTAGGGTTTTTATCCAAAACATTTACCCCCTAAGTTTAATGGCGTGAAAATATATAGCCTAAAGCGTGACGTAAGTGTAGGGCTTTTTATTAAAAAAAGAATGATTGAAAAATATGCTGTAATTGCTGACATCTTAGGCAACAAAGAAGTGTATGTTTACGCTTTATTATAATAGTATAGATTAATATAAACAGATTGTAGTAAATAATATAATTAAATAACAAATAACCGTGCGTCTTCACTGCGGAAACAATAGTGGTTGACAAAACTGTATATACCGTAAATACAGATTAAAATATAAAAATAAGGATAATGTTTATCATTACAACTTCTTTTTATTGTAACAATCACTATTCAAGTAGGCATGTAGTCAGTTACCATTTTTCTACGTGCTTAGACTTTAAGTATGTAAGCTTACTTATATCTGTATTTGTTTATCCTATTGGAATATAATCGTAACACAAAGAAGGAAAAATGTTATGATTACAATCGTTTTCCTGTTGTTATTTTTAGACTAGATACTATAATCTATCATCATTGGAATTGTAATAAGCACGTCTAGACGAAGATCTGATTTATTAGGTTTTGAACTTTTAGGAAATCACGAAATTATTATTTTGCCCACACAATTAAATTAAAACGTACGATATGCGATCAGAACGAAATTACCATGAGTTAACTTGTAGAATAAAATATCAAAATTTTGTTAAAAGATCCAACTGCCGCAATCATGGTCACATTGGTCACTATATATTTGCGTAGATTTCTCATCAATACTTCCATAAAAATATTATAAAGAGGGACAGATTTGTATTTATTGTAGGTACTCAAATACTATTGAGCCGATTCCAAAAAATTTTTCACCATTAAAAAGCTACGTTATCAGTAAGTAACATAGGCTGTATTATTGTTTTAATTTCTCGCAGATAAGTCGCGAGCAACAGCTAGTAGTAAATGATATTAAACCGATCACTTATCAACTTAGGCCATGGGTGGCAAACTATTGGTAGGCGTGCCATAAATGACACGGCATAATATTTTAGGCACGTAGACAATCATAAAAACGCTACGAATAAATAGTAGGTGCAACGCGGAATTGACGTGATCATCGCAGTCAAAATTATTTGATGGCAAATCTAAGATCGCGTTAAACATGTTCTCCACCCCTGTCATTGAATATATTAGCAGCAGTGGCTTGACGACTTAACATTTCATTGTTTCAGAGTTCAATGTCTAGGTTTCGTTCAGCAGCGTCAAGCAGATTTAGTGCCAACCGACCCTGAGGACATGTATGTTGCGTCTAAGATGCCTAACCAGGACTTCGTCGTGTTCCAGGAGTACAGGACTGATGAGGAACCTGATGGTATTTTTTTTATTTTAGATTATTGTAGATGATCGAAATATTTGACCGCAGTATCTTTTTGGATTGGTGTACCTTTTTACATTTATACGGAAATAATACGGTTTACAGTCTTTTGCAAATCTGTAATAACTTTGTGATAACCCTAGATTGACAATCTCACTCTTACTAATATAAATACGAAAGTTTGGATGGATGTTTGTTAGAGTTTGTAACCTAAACTCCTGAACGGATCTCAATGAAATTTGGCATAGATGTAGAGGATAGTCTAGAAGGACACATAGGATACTTCATTTTGTTTTTTAATTCCACGCGGACGAAGTCGCGTGCGAAAGCTAGTTTTAATATAAAGCTAAAGTATTGGATATTAGTATTTATTAACCTGTTTTACTAACTAGATTCTGATCTAGCATTCTTAACTAGTTTATAACAAAGTTAATCATAACCAAATCGTCGCGTCGAACGTAAAGAATGTTAATAAACGCTAACGCTATTTACTTGATTAAAATCTTTAATATACATACATACTTGTATTATCTTTACAACGTAGAATAGTGTATTTTATATTCCTGAATTCAAATACACATTTAAATGAAACCAATATTACTTATCAGCTTAATAAATGTTGGAAATTAAATCTAAAAGGTTCCATTTGACTAATAGACCGGGGCTAATCCACGGGGACCGACTTTGATATAGGCCATTAAGCCGATAGAAAGCTTTACATAAGTGAATACGTGTACCTATATCTATATTAAAGTCATCAAAAGTAAATATTTTTATAACCTGATGGAATAAATTAGCAATGCTGTTAAATGACAATACTTCTGATTTAAAAAAAAAATCAACTCATGTACATAAGTCTACAGACTGTAGTGGTCGTCTAAAATCTTGCTAAACAACCATTATTTTATTTTGTAGTAAAAATTTTAGTACAGAATTATATTATCTGTGGTTAAAACTATGGTCAACAAATTTCAATCAACTTTTTCTAATGACACAATCGTAATAAAAAAAAGACCCTATAACTATATCACGACTATCGCTTTCCAAGATATTATAACGAAGCAATATTTTTATTGGAGAAAGCTATAAAAGTGTATTCGAGTACCGAATATTGCTTTTCTAAATATTAAGCAATGTAAATATTTTTTGGTCTATTTAATTGTGATTTCTTTTGACAACTTTCACTTATCGGCCTCTAATATTTTGATGTTATGTTATACATTTAAGAAGTCATATAATATTAATTTAAATGTCTTTCCACATAAAAACTATTTAACTACGTCGTAGTCTTGGACTCCAAAATTCAAACAAAAAAATGGGACCCACCTGCAAGCATTACCTTTCGGATAAAAAAAGAATTATCAAAATCGGTCGAATAGCAGCGGAGTTATGCCGTAACACACATGAAAAAAATAAAAAAAACATACGGACGAATTGAGTACATCCGTCTTTTGGGAAGTCGGCCAAAAAGGGATACTAAATTTAATTACCTTAATTTAAAACGTTAATTATATAATTTTAACATATCAAACTGTTTAAATAATTATTTTCATAGTATAAAAAATGTATTAGAAACTTGATTATGAATATTTCAGTTCTAGCCAAGTTCTTACCACAATAAAGCCTAAGGGAATTCCCCGGTTTTCGACTGAAACCCTCTTCGCTTTGACCCAACCCTCGGGTAACCTCAAATACCTTGACGATAGTATGCATGATAATGTTTTGCATTATTCATAATAAAAGCCTTATGGTCAAAATATTTGGTATAATGCTTACTTACAACTGTTGAATTTGTTTTATAAAGTTAGTAAATTCGTTGTTAATAATTTTGTAAAATACTTACATTTAAAGTATGGGCGAAGGTAAATCATTCTTTCATACTAATGTTATAAATGTGGAAGTTTAGATGGATGGATGGATGTTTGTTAGATTTTGTAGCCTAAACTGCTGAACGGATCTGAAGGAAATTTGGTATACATGTAGGAGATAGTCTGGAAGAACACAAAGGCTACTTGGTTTTGTTTTTTTCAATGCGGACGGAGTCGCGGGCGAAAGCTAGTTAAAGACTATTTTCTATTCAAGTCTGCTTTAAGTCGAATCGATAGAGGTCCTCAATTTGTCTGTACTTTTAAGTAGATATGAAATGAAGTAATTTCTCTTTCAGCGGAGTTCAGATACGAGGCGGTCATTGTTGTACACAAAGACCTGCCCATCAAGAGCTTAGATGAACTGAAAGGATTGAAATCATGTCACACGGGAGTTAACAGAAATGTCGGTTATAAAGTAAGTCTTAATTTTGATAAAAACCGATTCGT